TTGTTCTTCTTTTGCAGTAGTAGGCTGATAAGTGGTTAGTTACCAGTTCTCTTGAAAAAAAATAAAAGGCAGAGATGGATAGATAAACTTTCACTGATATAAAGGGCAGGTAGCACAAAATTTACAATGATAAAAAATACAACGCTACAATGATAAAAAATACAACGCTTGCCGTTGTAAATTCTGTATAACCAACTGATTCTCAGAGAATTCTCTCATTAATTGTTGCCATTTAATAAAAAAATCTGTAGCCAACCTACCATTACTGTTGACAAACATTCATAGTTTCAAATTCAATACAGGTTGGTCATTTTATGTTAAAAAGACGAAAATGAAACCACGAAGACATGTTGGACCTTAGCTTGTTTGTCAATCACCTGAAAACGTTTGCTGAATTGAATAATGGTTTTTTTGAAAATAGAAGAACAACTCTTTAACTTGCTTTGTGCTCTGCACAGTGCGCTGGCTCCTGACATGACACGTTTTCACATTTAATCTGCCCTATTAACATGCCCTGATCACTCTTTTACATGTAGACAACTGACCAGACAATAAATCACGCCCTGACTTGGCGCCTCGGCCGGTTTCCGTGGTGTAAATACTCTCTCCACGGCTGGTCTCAGCTACTGACATCAGCCGCTGAGCCCACGTGTGCTGGGAACAGCTGTGCAGGATTTCCACTGTTACGGACTACGGAGTCGCATCGTTCACGTATGTAAATAACCTCAGAAACACAGAACCAGTAAAAGGTAGCAAGATCATTAGGAAGTCATGAATTTTCAGTATTTGTTAGCTTTGTTTTAATGTGGTTTATGTAACTGTAAGCTTACATAATTTGGCTCTGTTTAGCAATTGGCTGGCAGAACTGTTGGGATTCCCGCAGTCTGGTCTCACCAGCTGGCATGAGCCAGGTCCACGCACACCCGCTCCCCTGAGCTGTCACTAAGTTCTCCAGCTCCTTCTCAAGTCAGAGACATAGTAGCTTGGAAATAAAGGGCTGAAAAATAATTAGCGAAAGGAGAAAAGCTCATAGCTTTTTTTTAATGTTACGTATAGCTCTACCATGATTCTCATTGCTTTGTGCCTAAGTAGCACTCAAGTTTTAGTTTGTATTCAGTGAATTTAATGGTTTTTGAGGTACAATAATAGGCTAAAAATTCAGTTCCATTTCTCGAATGTACTTCTGAGTGGGGACAGACTCTGCTCCCACAGTCACTGATTTCCTTCCATTTTGTGAGAAGGGCCACTCGCTCGCCGCCCACTTCCTGTTTGGCTGCATATTCTGTCCTTTTGCATGGCAGCAGAAGCAGCTGCATGGCTGGCTTTCTTGCCACGGGACGAAAAGCAGCAAATAAACCCAAGACAAGGGCGAGAGAGCTTCTCCGTGCTTGCGGTAAAGCCCACACACCTGTGGGGCTTCAAGGGGGCTTCCAGGACAAACAAGATGCCCAGAATTGTATCGTGTCATGAGCTTTAGAATTAACTACTTTGTTTTGAAGCAGACTACGTTTTTAATTTTGGTTCAAGTCTTAGAGTGTGATCTTAGGCGAATTTAAAGAGGATCAGTCCCAATTTAAGGGGCATCAGAGAAATTCCTGTCCTGTCTTCTCCAGCTTTATGCTCTCAGGCAAGCTCACGGCTGAGCCCCGAGCAGAGCCAGAGTCAGCACGTGGTCTGGGAGTGAAGGGTTGATTACGGCCCTATGCCAGTACACTACTGAGCCGTGCCCCTAATTTATCTAGATTGTCAGTTCTTCTGCTGGGTGACACGGCCTGTGAATTAGTTTTGTTATCATCATTATTGATTTTACCTTGAGCAAACTCCAATTACTATCTTCTAATTGAAAAATGGATAGTTTCTTTCATTTAGTTTCTTATTTTAGAATTTCTTCGAAGTTCTATAGAATGAGCTATACCTATCCACAAATTGAAAACCAATCAGCCAGCAACATCTCCATGGTTGTCAGTGGCGGTGCTTTAACTCTGCATACGATTTAGAACAGGAGACAATGACTCATTTTCACTCTATGCTTTAGAAATCCTCTGCTAATTACCCTAGAAATGTATATCTAAGGAAAGATCGATTTGGTCAAAGGTGGTACAAAAAAATGTGTAAGAAAATGACAGTCATTGAACAGTTTAATTCTAAAAAATATAAAGCAAATTGGGGTTCTACAATTTGAGCTCTGTATGCACTGATTTTTAAATCCCCAGGGCCTTCTCACTGGGATAAGTAATTGGTGACTTGTTAGTAGCCTAATCATAACCAGCACTGCAAATCTTGCAAACAAACAATTCAGTGCAATTAGTGGGATGCGCGCCTTCCACAGCATTCAGCGGGAAGATCCAACCAAAATCAAACGTCGGCAGAAAGCAACTTGGTTAGAAAGCTGCAAGGGAAAGAAATCCACATGCAAAATCGCGCAGGCGCGGACATGCGCACGAGGCACGCACGTACGTCGGGAGCACGCGCATGCGCCCCGCGTGCGTCAGCCACCATCTAAAGGCCGGATACACGCTTATCGATGAGAAGGGAGATGACAGAGTACAGAGCAGGGAGCCCCTGTCCCTCTGCTACTGCAGTTACGCTAAGAGCTCAGACGCACCGCCAAAGACCCACTCACGATGACCTTGGTGCCATGACCTCGAGAGGTTTCAGGGCTAAACCATCTACCGCGACGCGTGCAGGTGGCACTGACCGACTCGGCCTCCGCCAGGCGACCCGGCCGCGGCTGCCAGGAAGGAGCCACGGCTGCCAGGAAGGAGCCCCGGCTGCCAGGAAGGAGCCCCGGCGTAGATCGGGCGAGAGGAGCCGCGATCTCGCACCGGGTGGTGGCAGAGGGCACGTCCCTTGGGCACACCCAGCTTCGCACGTGCCCCGGGGCTGACTTTGAAAAGGCTGCATTTTCTCTGCTGCAAGCTCACTTTGGAAGAGATTAAATAAAAATGCTTCTTATAGCAGGAAGTACTTTTAAATGAGATAACGGGAGTCCAAAGGTTTATGGGTCCGACGTACAACCTCGCCGACTCTATTCTGTTACCCTCTTAGCTGCTGAGACCATCCGGCAACCAGCCCCTTCAGTCTGTGGGCACTAAATGGGGCATCCTACTGCTGGGGACATTTCCGGTAGCTCCTCTGCTCCGTGGGAGCAGGACGGATAAACGGAGTGAAGGCCAGGCCTGACGTGCCCAGTCCCGCATTAAAATTGTCCTTGGAGGAGGACGGTTCTCCCATGCTTGGCCGCACTGCCCTTGAGTCATCCACCTGAGCATCACCAGCGGCACACAGTGCCCTCTCTGCACCGACTCGTCTATGTTCACCAGACTGCGGCCAACGCAAAGGGTGCGGCCAGGAGCATGGGACACTGTTGGCTGAGTATGAGTTCCCCGCACAGAGCTGCAGTGTCGACCAGTGACGTCTGTGCACCACGGGGAAAGCTGGCCGACGCCCAGCGGGCGTGCATCCGGGGAAACGGCCGCGTGGGAAGAACGAGCACGGGGCGGGAAGGAGGCACAGCGCCGGGTGCCGAGGACAAACGTGTCTCGTCCCGGCTGGTCCGAGTCTGCCGCTCGGCTCCACGCTCTGCTCAGACCTGGCGCGGGAGTCTGCTAGGCACAGGGAGGAAGCTTAACTTCTCAGGTGCGACATCGGCAGCCCCCCAGTCCCTCTGCCAGCTTCTGACAGTGGCCCCCGGCCCCGCACAGGGAGGCACCCCGAGGGCGCGGGGGGCTGCGGGGTGCACACGGCCGGTGTGCACGCGTGTGCGGGCCCGCGGCGCTGCTGCTTCAACACCCACACCTCGCCCGCCGGCCGGTCGTGCTCGGCTGGACCACGTGCATCGGCTGTTCCCCGCGAGGACCAGCAGAGCCTGGGTGAGGAGTGCGGCCATCCGAGGGGCCACCGGAAGCCCCGCGGCCTTGCCGTGTGGGGCCGAAACCCGCTCTCTTCAGAGATGAAACGCTCGGAGCTGCCTAAGCCCCAGCTGTCATCTCCGCCTGACACGCCTAATCCCGAAGCTCCCGACGCCCCACACAAATTCGTTTGCTTTCGGGAGCCTGTCCGCTGTCAAGATGATCAAACGTTTTAAGGATGAAAAAGCAGTATTTGTAAAGAAAGATAAAATGAATCAGGATTATTTTGCCCAGGGAAAGTAATCCGACGATTATCTTCTCTACCCAGAAGCAGGCGGCCCGCGCGTCGTCATTTCCAAAGAGGATAGAAAAAGATCAAATGGTGCCCGTGGTAAGAGCGTGGACATCCCAGCCCTCGGTGGGCCCGGCTGCTCACGGGCCGGATGCCGAGTGCCACCGCGCTGCTAGGAAACCGGTCCGGGCTGTGCCCCCCTAGTGAGCAGGCGGACCGCACAGCAGCAGCATCCTCACGCAGACGCACGCAAGCTGGGCACACGCGGGCCGCCGTCTGAATATGTATGTCGCTAAATACACAGAACTGTTGCACATCTAGAGGCGGGAGTGCTACACGTGGTGTTTGTCATCGTCCACGAAAACCCCTGGGACAATGAGGAGGGCCCGATCCCAGGCTGGGTGTGAGGACGCATCAAAGCAGAACGAGCCTTTCATTCCGGCTACTGCGAGGCTCTCCTTCTGGTGCCTCAGTTTCCCTTTCCACAGAGTGGCAAGACTACTGCTTGGCCGCTACCCACACGTCCGGGGTTGTAACTCATTCTTCTTCCCGGCTCTTGACCGCTCTGAGCTTAGCTCTAACTTGAGGAATTTACCTTCTAGCCAAGTGTCTCCACCCACACGGCGCAATTTGGGCTCGAGTCTAACTACAGTCTGAATGATTAACAGGTTAAGTCGCTCCTGCGGGTACCTGCGTGGCATTCCCCGGTAGGCAGGACACTGCATTGAGCATTTGGCAGGAAAAGTTGCACAGAGGAGGCACAGACACCTGAGGCAGGGACGGAAAGTCTGGAGACCCAGCACCAAGGACCAGAGAGGGAGTCACCACGGATGGGCGAGGAAGGAGCAGGCACGTACGTGTGGGTGTCCGGTGCGTGGCCTTGGAAGCAGCGCCCTCCCCGGGGGTGCCGAGTGGCTCTGCCAGCTCCACGTCTGGAGGGGGGTAGGGCGGGGGCGGGGGGAGCACTAACTGGGGAGGCCCCCGCGTGGTGCCTCTGGGGGGCTTTTGTGGCATCTGCCGTCCAACACCTACATAAAATCAATGGGGGTTACTTCAGATGGTTAAGCGCAGAGGCCCCCGCGCCCACCAGAGTGCACGTCACCGTCGGTGCCCTGCACCAGGAACCGCCTCACAGCAACACAGGCAGACACGCAAGACCAAATCCAACCTCACTCAGCACCAGATCCAACCTCACTCAGCTCCAAATCCACCACATCCAGCTCCAAATCAACCTCACATGGCACCACATCCAACCACACCCAGCACCAAATCCAGTCTCACCCAGCACCAAATTGACCTCGTTCAGTACCAAATCCCAACTCACCCAGCTTTAAATCCAAACACTCCCAGCACCAAATCCAGCCACACCCAGATCTAAATCCACCACATCCAGCACCAAATCCAGCCACGCCCAGATCCAAATCTGACCACAGCCGGCTCCAAATCTACTTCACTCAACACCAAATCCAGCCACACCCAGATCCAAATATGACCACACCCAAATCCAAATCTGATCACATCCAGCTCCAAATCAGCCACAACCAGCTCCAAATCCAACCTCACTCAGCTCCAAATCTAACCTCACTCAGCATTGAATCCAACCACATCCAGCTCCAAATCCAGCCACACCCAGCTCCAAATCCAAACTCACCCAGGACCAAATCCAACCACTTGGCATCAAATTTAACCAATTCATCGGGATTTATGGTGAGGATGGAAGTCTGCCCTTGACATGGCCACCAAGACCTTCTCTACCATCCCCTGACTTCGAATATTCAAACTTATTTTCAGTAAGAAGGAAGCTTCTGTCTTCCTCAGTTCTTGAAACCAAAGTTTATGGACCCAAGAGAGAGATTTGTGGTGAGTTACTACCATCTGTGTCCCCGCCATGATGTCACTTAGCTGGAAAACTGCTCCGACAGTTTTCGGTTTTATAAAATACCTTCGTGTCCCGCCCATGGGCACTGGCCGACGGCCCCCACTCAGGCCTGGTTTTCCAAGCCTGTCGGGCACAAGGCCTCGGCCTGAATTCAAGGCCGAATCAGGAGGGTCTTCCTTGTGTTGACACGGGCTATCTCGCCTGGGGGTCGGCACGACTCAAACGTGTCCACACTGCCACTTGAAGTGGACGCTTCTTAGAATTTCAACAAGAAACTCTAAATCCGATGGTGTCATCCCTTCACGAAAACAGTGGGGAGTGAGCTCGCAAGGGGGAATGGGGGACTCATCATGGACAGTAGAAAAAAACTAGGCTGTTCTGATGAGCTGTGGGCCCGGTTTTCTTTAAATCTGGTAGGGTGTCCCTTTGGGACAGAGGATAAACTGACATGATGTATTGGCTGTTGGGAACAACATTAGAAGTGAGGTTTTGACTAGGGGATGAATGCTGACACCCAACCGATGGCTCTTGCTAAAGTTTCAGACGCTGACAATGAGCATTCATCCTGGGAGCCGTTCCCATTGGGGCTACAGCCGTGAGATCGAAGGTGAAATGCGAGGGTGCCAGGTGAAGGACACGGCGTTGGAGTGACACCTGCCGGCTGGTGCGCTGGCCTCTGAGGCGCCTGTGGTCACGGGGGGCTGGGGGGGGTCTCAGGCAGCCCCGCTCCTCGGCACCCACTTCCGCTCCATGTAAGCGAAATAACACACGCCGAGTGCTTTCAGAGCAAAAGTCAGCCATCCCGGCACCTAGGGACCCTGTCACCTCTCTCCACTCCACCTGTCGCGTGAGGGGCGGGGCGTAATGCCCTAACGGGCCCCTCCTCGCAGATATCGCGATTCTACCCTCTTTGCTCCGGGTTCTTTTCTCTTAAACATCAGGGCTTCGCTGCACTTGGTAATGGATGGAGACCAGGGTCAGACGGGGCGGCCGCAGAATGACTGAAGTGCTGTCAACTGACCGACAGACCTCCTGAGGCCCAGATGTCTTCCACAGCAGCGTCCACGCAGGTCACCCTGAGACCGTGCCTGCCTCCACCAGACACTCGGTCACGCACCCACACTCGCCCGCGCTCCTGCGCCCCGCCTGCTAAACGCCCATGCTGGGCCCAGAAAACACGCCCCTCGACACCGCGTGGACTCGCCACTCCAGACCGTTTACTTGCAGACTCTCCTCCTCGGCAGATGTGTCCCCGTTAAGGTCACTGGGGGGAGCCGCTGTGCGGGTTAATAGCGGTGCCACAACGCCACACGCGTGCAGGCCGCAGGCGCGCTCACTCACCCGTCTTCCTGCTCTCCTCGCGGTCCTCGGTGCGCGTG